ACTGCTCCAGAGGTCGTTATTGCCTCTACCCCAGTTTCTTTCCTGCTGTTCGTTTCCTTACTTTGTCCTGTTGGCAGTGATCATCTACTCATACTTACTACACTATCATTTCCATAAAACAAACTGGAATGATTACAGGAAACGTCTTCATTCTCTTCTTTCTAACCTGTTTCAAGTGTTGATGCCTTTAAACATACCATGACATCAGCTCTTTCATCTGCAGGTGCTCGCTCAATCCCCTCTTTGCTGTCATGTACTTTTTGTTTCTCTGTACCCCAACGAACTATCACACTCTTATTTGCTGTGCCTCCTTACTCCTCCAGAACTATTGCCATTCCTATGATACATTTGCTTTACACCAATCCAGAGGTCTCCAAAGCACAGCCAGAAATTTCATTCAAGCTATTAAACGTCGCCGTTGGCATTACCTGTGCAACAGACTTCGTCATTCTCCTTCCTCCTTCGCATCTTCACTGGTCATTATCACTCCCCTTCCTATCCTTGTGGATGATCAGGTTCCTGCTACCATGATCCTCAAGGCCAATGCTTTTGTACGCCACTTTGAGTCGCAGTTTAATCCTCCACCACATCCCCTTGACTTTGATGATTGCTCCGACATTACTTCTGATCATACTTCTCCGACTCTTTGTCCCTCTCTCACCCATGTTCTGGAAATCAAACCCCTGTGTGTTTCCAATTACTTCTCAAGATGTCTGACTTGCAACTCAGCCCCCCGGTCCAGATGGTTTCACCTATTCTCATCTCTCCAATGCACCTGCTCAGTTTATTACCCTATTGTCCTTATTCTACATCACACAGGTTTCTTCCCTACCACTTAGAAATTTTCAACCATCCTTCTTTTCCTGAAACTATCCAAGCCACCAGTTCAACTAGATTCGTATTGGCCCATCAGTTTAACCAGCATCCTCAGCAAGACTTTTGAATGCATCCTTGTTAATCGTCTTCACTCTTTCATTGCATCCAATCAGTTACTACCACATAACCATGCAGGTTTCCACCCCATCTCTCCACTGCAAATCAGTTCTTCAAGCTCTCCGATTTAATTACAAACCACTTCAACACTCTAAACCTTCATGCCTCGTTCTATTAGACTTTGAGAGAGCCTTTGATTTTGTTTGGCACCGGGGGATGATCTACAAACTTCAATCTGTGTCTTTTCCTGCTTCCTACATTAGACTTATTTTTCCTTTCTCTGGGATTGCCGAGCTGCCATTTCCATCCAAGGTATTCATTCTCATCCATTCTCCATACATGCTGGCATTGCACAGAGATCCGTCATTTCTCCTCTACCATACACCGTGTATGTTGCTCACATGCCAGTTCCTCGGCCACCAGTTTATCTCTTTCAATATGCCGATGTCACAGCTCTCCTTGCCATTTGTTCTACAATGGTCACCCTAAACAAAATCCTGCAGAAAGCCGCCAACCTTTTTCTTTCCTGGTGCAGACACTGGAGGCTTATCCTTCACCCTCACAAAACCAAAGCTATTCTTTTGGCCCAACTCACCACAAATTTCGTCCATGCTGAAATCCACTTCTCATCGATGTCCGACTTGACAACATTCCTATTGCCCTATCCAATACAGTTAAATATTTTGGAGTTATCTTTGACTGCCATCTCAGTTGGGAAGCACGCCTGGCCATTCTACACACGAAGGTTAATTCCAGGCTTCATTTACTGGGGTTTGAATTCCCAACTCCTTTTATATTCCTACCAAGCTTTTGTCCGACCCTATTGTTATGTTGCCTGGATCTCTGCTCCATCTTCATTCAATCATTGGCTGAAAGTTTTGAAACGCCACGCTTTAAGCATAGCCTTTCAATTACGTCGTTCCAGTCCTACACAGGAATTGTGCTCTCTCATCTCTTTCCCTCCATAATCGCGCATCTATGCGAACTACGAGTGAAGTATGTTCACCACTGCTTCAATCATCACAACCATATCTTCGACAAAATCCTAACCTATTTGGCAAACACTTACCTCCGACGGATCATCTTCTGAATCTTTACCTTATGTCTTTGCCACCTGATCGTCTCGACTACAATGCAACTTCGATGCCTGATCTTCCACCACACGTCTATCTCTGATTATGTTTCCTAATAGCGTGCATTAAACTCGTCTTCACCATTTCAGTACCTGGTCTCACTTACTTATCTCTCATTGCTTATTTCCACTGTGTACTTCTACATTTCCTGGCCGCTTAGAGGGAATAGTCTTCTGTTGGCCCACCAGCCCTCCAGGCTGGAATGCAATGCCATAAAAAAAATTGAGAGCATGTGTTATCCCCTCTTCTTTACATTCTCTATGTCGTTGATGTGCCTTGTCCCTGGCACCCTCTTCAGTTGTTTCAATATGTTGATGATAGTGCTTTGGTGGTCCACTGTCCAACTATGTCCACTCTGAATAAGCTGCTGCAATAACTTCGTTTTTATATTGGTGTTGATACTGATGCTTATTCCTCAATGCCCCTAAAACAAGTATTATTTTTGCCCTGACACGAAGTAAGATCCACCCTTGCCATAACCCATCTATGTTTGACGTCCTTATCGACAATGTTCCCACCCATCTTTCTGACTCGATTACCTATCTTGGCAATGTCTTTGATAGGCATCTTAGCTGGAAACCACACCTACCCGCCCTCTCTGTTAAGGTTTCTTACCATCTCCATCTACTCTGTTCTCTCACTGGTTCTCACTGCGTATGTTGTTGTTGTTGCATTGAGAATGCAACCTTCTAATGGCCAATCAGTCTCTCCTTGGGGTGAAATGGAATAAATTAAAATGACACCAGATTATGATAATGAGGTCATGTCATTGTGTAGGCATGGTACCATAACCCCAACTTAGGATTCGTGTTGTGTCCTCTCTATTAATCAAAATAACTATAGGGTGAAGATAGAAGGTGGAGGTTCTAAAAAATTTTCTTAGCGTCGATTGATTGTTCTGGAGTAGTTGTACTATCCATGAAGAAACATTCTACGTTCACTGCTCTCCTTTCTCAATCAAATATCAGACTTAATATGTTACTTTAATCGTCAGTAGGACAAAATGCATGTATGAAAACATTGAGCTTACTTTCAGAAAATCAAAAGTATTCAATAGTTTATCTTTCAATAAATAGCAATAAAATTTTACTATTATTCCTGCATACACTTTCAATCATTCGTAGTACAATATCTAACCTACTAAATGAAGTTTGCTATTTTTAACTCTTTGAAAATTTTTTATGAAACATCTTAGTATTAGTGCTGTCCTTTCAACATTCTTGTTTAAGTAATAAAATCATAATGTGTACAAGAATCATCTATAATTATTAAATAAAAATATGTATGGTGCTTTGTACTTGGCTAAGTTTGTTGTTTTACATACCTCAAACACTATATATATATATATATATATATATTTCTGTAAATGTCATTTATTTATTCCATTGATTTAATATAGTCATTTTAGATTACTGGCATGGCTACTATAGGGTGTAATGTTGGCTAAATATCTATCCAAAATGCTTCATGAAAAAACAAAATTTAATTCTACTTTAGCTTACACAGCAAGTGATATCATTAATACAGCAAAATGGTGTAGCTTAACATTATTCACTTAAACTGATTTTACATTCAGCTTAGCACCAAATTCACATCACAATTGGTTCAGTGTAACTTAGTGATGATTCTTAGGCTAATTAGGAAGCAGTAAGTTGCTGAGGCTTAAGATCACCAAAAGATATATATACACAGCGTGGTCACAAGTAAATAGACACCACCTTTTCAGAAAAATGCAAATTTTCAGTCATAGTCACATGAATTGATATATTTATAATTTAATTAATATCTAGTAGATCTTCTTTTCGCTT